CAGCTAGACCTTTATCCTCTTCTACATACCTTCCTTCTTTTGTTTTTAATCTAACTAATCCTTGTTTTACTTTTCTTTTCTCATTTATGTATCTAAAAAATGTTTTGTCCCCTTTTTTTACTGACTGTGCTATTTTCTCTTCTGTGTGTGATTTGGAAGCTCTTATAACTTGCTTAGCCTCTTTCTGCCTAATCTTATAGATCATTTTGTCTTCCTCACTCTGGGTTTTTTTATAATTCCTAAATGCTAACTTTTTGTTTTTAACTATTTTGGCCACATCTGTGGAGTACCACAGTGGTTTCTTGAATGTTTTGCTTTTACTGACAAGCCTAATGCAATTTTCTGTTGCCTTTAATAGTGCAACTTTTAAATAATCCCATTTCTCTTGAACTCCATTTAAATTGCTCCAGTCTGATAATGATTTCTCTACACATATTCTAATTTTAGAAAAGTCTGTTTTTCTAAAGTCTAAAACTTTAGTTTTTTTTGTGGTGTGACTCAGTCACTGTTCTTATATTAAACCACACTGACTGATGATCACTGGATCCTAAACTTTCACCTACTGTAATATCTGATACCAAATCTCCATTTGTTAACACTAAATCTAGTATGGCCTCTTTACGAGTTGGCTCTTCAACAACTTGTTTTAGAGACAATCCCAGTAGTGAGTTTAGAATATGTGTGTTCCTGGCACAAGTAGCTAATTTTGTTTTCCAATTTACATCAGGAAGATTAAAGTCACCCATGATGATAACTTCCCCCTTCATTGTCATTTTAGCTATTTCCTCAACTAGTAGATTATCTAACTCTTCAATTTGTCATGGGGGCCTATAAATCACCCCTACACGAGTTACTGTGTAATTACCAAATTCTAACGTAACCCAAACGGACTCTATGTTTGTCTCACTAACTTTTATTAGGCTAGATTTTATGCTATCCTTCACATACAGGACCACCCCTCCCCCTTTCTTGCCTTCCCTATCTTTTCTATATAAAGAGTACCCTGGTATTGCTATGTCCCAGTCATTTTTCTCATTATACCATGTCTCAGTAACAGCGACTAAATCTACACTATCAGTTGCCATTATTGCCACAAGTTCATGGATCTTTTTCCCTAAACTGCGAGCATTTGTAGACATGACTCTAAGCTTATAATTTTTTAACACACTTGCTACAGGCACCTTCTGTCCTTGTTTTGGGGGACAATTGGATTGATGTTTTATCACCCTTTTGCCCCCCCTCCTAGTTTAAATACATCCTAGCAAAACCTCTGAACTGCTCACTGAGAACATTTGTTCCCTTTTGAGAAAGATGCAAACCATCTTTTTTGTACAGCTTATTTCCATTCCAAACAGAGCTACCATGAGAAATAAAGCCAAATCCTTGCTCCCGACACTATTCACCAAGCTACAAATTAAAGTCCCTAATACTCATATGCCTGTCGTTCTGAGTGTTATGCACAGGCAGAACTTCAGAGAATGACAGTGTGGAAACAACCTGCCGTATATCATTGGCAAAAACACTAAAAACTTCCTTAACCTCTTAAACCTCATTGCAAGCCAAGTCATTTGTCCCTAGATGGACAAGTACATCCAATTCCCCTTCCTGCTTTGCTTGCTTAACAATATTACAGATACGTCTCCTGTCTCTGTGAGCAGTAGCTCCGGGAAGACACCTCACAAGACCACCATTGTCCATCTCCACACCTCTTATGATCGAATCCCCCAACAACAACTACTTTCTATTGGGCCTCAAAATAGTCTCCAAGCTGGTCTCCACAACACCACTAGCCTCAGTGCCTCTCTCCACAACACCACTAGCCTCAGTGCCTCTCTCCACAACACCACTAGCCTCAGTGCCTTTCTCCACAAAACCACTAGCCTCAGTGCCTCTCTCCATAGAACCACTAGCCTCAGTGCCTCTCTCCACAACACCACTAGCCTCAGTGCCTCTCTCCACAACACCATTACACTCTGAAAGTGCAGAAAATGAATTATGTAGAGCAACAGATTGTGCAATATGCCTTTTATCCACAACTCCAAGTCTACCAGATCCTACAGTAATCCATCTGCCATTCCTAGTATGTCTCTGCGGCAGTGGCTTTGCAGCAGTTCCAGTCTGAGTTTGTTCACCAGATAATTTACAAATCTCAGACTTCAAAAATACAATCTCCTGCCACAAGATAGAGAACTGTCTACAGATTAGACAACAACCAAATCTCCAAAATGTAGAACGTGAAACAAATGCATAGCAACTATTACACTGAACTAAGCCTGCCATTCCAATGAGGGAAATAATTTAACTCAAACTAATCTTAACTTTTTTTCTTTATCCTCTTGAATACCTCAGATTACCTCCAGTTTATCTCCAGAATATCTCCAACTACACACTTAGAAGCAACACTTATGTGAAGCAACCAAACTATATTAGCCAAGCTAATGACAACAAGCCTTATATAACTCCTAAAATCACCACCCACTAGGAATGTTTAACACCTGGGTAGGCCTCTGCTTATTTGCAACTAATAGCTAATTAACCAGCAATCAATAGCAAGCAACTAGCTTAATCAAATCAAATGCCTTATAATTACCAACAGAAATTCAAACCTTGTGCAATCAGTAACCTTTTTCTACAGATGAATCTTACCTGTAACATAGAAAAGAAAGCTCTTAACACAACTCTTAGACAGTTGAAGCTTCTGTAAAACTCTCCAGAATATCTTCAACTACACACTTAGAAGCAACACTTAGGTGAAGCAACCAAGTTATGTCATAGGGAAAAAACTGTGTCAAAATTGCATAAATAACTGTGCATACCCAAAATAATAGGACTTTCTTCCTTCCTTTATCTTATCCTACATCTACATCCTACATTTATCTACCGTTTGTTATTTCTTTGTTTCTTACAATGAAAACAAGGGTTAATCTAACAAAGACGGCAGAGAAGGACAGACACTTGAGCCCCTGTTGACATGTTAGCAAAAGCTTCATGACTGTGGTATATTGTGTATGAAGAGACCAGTCAATAGGCATGCCATTAGAATTCTACCTTACACACATAAAGCTCTGATAGAGAATTCCATAAAGCCATCGTTATATATTACAGATTGGTGCAGGTAATACCCGAATGACTCATTCCCCATTCTCTGAAAGCTTTGTGTTTGCTGACAGATGTAATATCCACTTTGGAATAGTCAATAAGATGTACAGCTTCACCCATATTCTTGACCTTGTTGTCATATGATTTCCCTTCAAATACAATCCAATAGTTACATTCATGAGTCTACAAATACACTACATTAGGTGAAATAACCTTCTATTTCTTAGAGGTAGAACACTATATTACAACCACTTGTATACTTTGAGTCAATTCAAGTAGGCTGGGGCTCAAAAAAGTAAAATTTAAGTATAACACATTGGGCAACCTCCAACTTTTAGGTAACTTGGCAAATTGTGGCAGGTCGGTTGTTTTAACGATTTCAGGTGCTTCACTTTGGACATTTTACCTTGATGTTAAACACCAACATATGTTTACCTTAAAAAGGAAATAGAAAATCCTGTTTAATACATCAAGGCTTAGCACACAGTATACACTGTCAAAATATTAAAGAATGTTTTACCTGGCCCAGCTAAACTATTTTAGCTAAACAAAAAAAAGTTTTCTAGTTTTCTAACCTATGCGAGCAAATCCTCTGTAACTAACCCATGTATAAACCAAAATATGTGCTCAGAGGTTACTAAACAGGCACCCTAAGACGTCCTCAACCTTTGTGTGAAGAGGATTTGGAGGGCAATCTTACTAACTAGGACAATAAAAAAGGCCCTTTTTTCACCATGTGTTCCATGTGAATAGTAATGGTATGCTGGACTAGAGCATCCCCAATAAACATGCGAAAGAACCAACGAAGGTCTGGTGTTCCATCATTTTAATATCTCCTGTTTGGGGACAACCTAGACGAACATATATGGGGGTATATAACTCAGTGAACCTTGGCAGGCAGTATTCAATAAAATGTTTGCAATAGAAAGACAAGTGAAAGTTTTATTTTTCTCATTTATAATTGTGATTGATGATGTGCTAGAAGTTACTGGAAATGTAAGGATTAGCAAAGGTTTGCATCAAATGCATTCTACACTGTTTTGTAGAGAGGTATGTTCTCATATCTGAAGCTTAAACAAAGTTTTTTAAACAGTTATTCACTTACTTTTTGCATTCTTTTATGACCTGACCCCTATCAGTTTCTCTATAAGCTGTTGCCAAGTTTGTACTACAAACATTTGCATCAAACGTTTTTACATACATTTTATTACGTATGCATTGATAAACAAAATATGCTTCTAGCCTACAGAAAACACAAATTGTTATTAAAAATATTATTGAATTATTCTAGCTAAATAGTAGAACATCGGCAAAAAGAGTTCGACCTCGAACTTGACCCGAACCCGAACCCCATTGAAGTCAATGGGGACCTGAACTTTTGGGCACTAAAATGGCTCTAAAAAAGTCCTGGAAATGTCTAGAGGGCTGAAAAAGGAAGTAAAATGGGGGTAAGAGTAAGACAAGTGCCCTGCAAACAATTGGGGTAGCCCCCAAAATATTGGGACATATAAAAAAAGAAAACAAAGAATAAGTGCACTTGATCATAACAATGGCTGGATGAGGCCAGTATAAATGTCTACTCTGCACAAGGTACAGACAAGTCTGGTGGGATCCATGCCTGGTTCATTTTATTAACGTGAGCTTGTCCATGTTGGCTGTGGACAGGTGGCTGCGCTTGTCTGTGATAACGCCCCCTGCCGTGCTAAACACACATTCTGACAATACACTGGTTGCATAGCAGGCCAGCACATCCAAGGCATAAAGGGCAAGCTCAGGCCATGTGCCCAATTTGGAGACCCAGAAGTTGAATGGGGCAGACCCATCAGTCAGTACGTATAGGCGTGTGCACACGTATTGTTCAGCACCATGTTGCTGAAATGTTGCCTTCTGCTAAGACGTTCCATATTAGCTGGTGGTGCTGGTTGTTGTGGCGCGCATCTTCCGATCACGCTCCAGTGAGGGAATTAAGGACGGCACGTTATCCTTGTAACGGGGATCCAGCAGGCTGGCCACCCAGTAATCAGCAGAAGTTAGAATGTGAGCAGGCACTTTGGGTACTCTAGATAACCTCAGGGCAATCGCACATCCCTGTGACGGCGATGACGCATTCAGATGTCTGCCCTATCAACTTTCGATGGTACTTTCTGCGCCTACCATGGTGACGACGGGTAACGGGGAATTAGGGTTCGATTCCAGAGAGGGAGCCTGAGAAACGGCTACCACATCCAAGAAAGGCAGTAGTGACGATAAATAACAATACAGGACTCTTTCGAGGCACGGTAATTGGAATGAGTACACTTTAAATCCTTTAATGAGGATCTATTGGAGGGCAAGTCTGGCGCAGTACGACTGACCCGTGCGTGCTGCAGCTGAAACTCCACTATCGCCTGCTGCTGCTCACACAGTCTCTCCAGTATGTGCAAGGTGGAGTTCCACCTTGTGGGCACATTTCATATGAGGCGGTGAGCGGGAAGGCCGAAGTTACGCTGCAGCGCAGACAGGCGAACAGCAGCAGGGTGAAAACACCAAAAGTGCACACAGGCGGCCCACACTTTCTGCAGCAGCTCTGATATATCTGGATAGTTTTTCAGGAATTTCTGCACCACCAAATTCAGTTCTTGCGCCAGGCAAGGGATGTGCGTCAAACCGGCTAGGCCCAGAGCTGCTATGAGATTTCGACCATTATCGCACACCACCAGGCCGGGCTTGAGGTTCAGTGGCAACAACCATTCATCGGTCTGTTGTTCCATGCCCGTCCACAGCTCCTGCGTGGTGTTGGGTTTTTCCCCTAAACATATGAGTTTTAAAATAGCCTGCTGTCGTTTTCCCCCTGGCTGTGCTGAAGTTGGTGGTGAAGGTGTTACGCTGACCGAATGAGGAGGTGGTAGAGGAGGAGGAGGTGGTAGAGGAGGAGGAAGCGGAGTAGGAGGAGGAGGAGGCAGCAGGAGGCAAAGGTAAATGCCCTGCAATCCTCGGTGGCGGAAGGACATGCGCCAAACTGCTATCCGCCTCAGGCCCAAACTAACAGATGGTTTATGTCAGGCAACAATGTAACCGCCAATAGTCAACAATTAAGTTCACTGACAGTAAGGCAGTGCCGGTGTCCTAAAGAGAAAAACACAACAGTGTGACAGGCATAATTAATACAGTTACTTCACTGTCTCAAAAAAGTGTGATTTTTTTAAACCAACAATGTAACAGTAGTATTTAAGGGTTTTATTGGACTGCAAGAAATGCACCGCAGGCCGCAAATGTTCTATATAGCACAAAAAAGTGTGATTGTTTTAACCAACAATCTAACAGTAGTATTTAAGGATTTTATTGGACTGTAGAAAATGCACCGCAGGCCACAAATGTTCTATTTAACACAAAAAAGTGTGATTTTGTTAAACCAACAATGTAACAGTAGTATTTAAGAGTTTTATTGGAATGCAAGAAATGCACCGCGGGGCGCAAATGTTCTATTTAGCACAAAAAAAGTGTAATTTTTTAAACCATCAATTTAACAGTAGCATTTAAGGGTTTTATTGGACTGCAAGAAATGCACTGCAGGCCGCAAATGTACTATTTAGCACCAAAAAAATTATAATTTTTCAAACTGCGATGTAACCACAGTATTTGACGATTCTATTTGACTCTCAGATATGAAGTGCATCCCCCAAATTTACTTTTTAGCACCAAAGAAATGTGAATTTTTCAAAGTGCGATGTAACCACAGTATTTGACGATTCTATTTGACTCTCAGATATGAAGTGCACACCCCAAATTTACTTTTTAGCACCAAAAAAATTTGAATTTGTCAAACTGCAATGTCACAGCAGTATTTAAAAATGCCTAGATGCTGCCCACTGAGCTACCAGAACAGGCTTAAAGTAATGTGCCTGGCACACATGCAGTTGCAAGTGCACTGCACTTGCAAAAATGCCCACCTAACAAACAGACTGATTGCTTATTTCTCTGTGGCACTGGGCTCAGGGCAGGGTACAAAAATGTAGTATAGCACCCACAAAAATAATCGCTGTAGTTTGCAGATTCAACACCAGAATTCTTTCCTAATCTGTCCCTCACAGCTGCAGCATCCTCTCCCTACACTAATAAGAGCTCATGTGACTACAGCTTATATAGAGGCTGGGTCACATGCTGCACTGGCCAATCACAGCCATGCCATTAGTAGGCATGGCTGTGATGGCTTCTAAGGGCACACGAGTCAAACGCTTGTTGATTGGCTGCCCTGTAGCTTTTCAAAATGCGCCATTAAATCGCCGAACACCAAACTCAAACCTGAACTGTTACTGAAATGTTCGTGTTCGGGGCCCAAAAATCGTAATGTTCGGTACGAACCCGAACTTTACAGTTCGAGTTCGCTCATCTCTACTAGATAGGCATTTACATCTTTTCTATAGGTCTAAACATATATAAATAATAAAATAATAATAAAATATTAATATGTACAGTGTACCATGTTCTTTAATAAGAAATATATTTCTATTTAGTTGTAGTAATAATTTAGAAGGAGTACTCAGTAAAGATAAAGACTACAGGGGGCTGCCAATCTTGGTCATCAATTTATGTAGAACACTATTGGGCCATTTGTCAATCCTAGTATCTCTTAAACAAGGGGGTGGCAACTAAGATAGATAATAAATTTGGGCAACTACATACCAGCAAGCGACTTGGCAAATAGTAAAAATAACTAAAAATATATAGCATTTGCAGAATTTATATTTTCATTTGTTTCATGAATTTACCACATAATTCAGTCCACACAAGAACATATCCCACAACCTATGATTGGAGGGCAGCAGATTATCAGGAAACTAATCCTGCACCATCGGGATGACCATATAACCATTTGCTGGAGGACAATATAATATTTTATCAAATCATCCACTAGGGTCCAGGTGCCATCAGGGAGAAAACGGGCTGATTAATAAATGTGAAAATTGTTTTGCAGGAGTAGGCTACATGGGCAAAAGGCAGGGATTAACATATCATATTATTAGAAGCCGGGAAGAGTTTGTGTCCATCATCCATACCTTTGTAAATATGAACAGAAACAAAGAGGACCTGTTATGAAGCACAAGGTCACAAGTCTCCAGTGCTTCACTCCGGCAATCAATGTCAGCTAGTTCTATTTTTGCAAGACGTTTTATGTGTGCACAAAATATTCGCAAGGTAAGATGATCAAGGCAAATGTAGCAAAGGAATTCAAGAACATTCGTGGCAGGCATAAGGCAATATGGGGGATTAAATAGATAAGTATGCGGTTATTATAGCAATTTGTTCTTTTCTACCATCACATTCTGTGTTGATGTTTTACACTAAGGCCTCTGGCGCATTCTATTTGTCTGAGCTTATAATGCATTAAAAAGTAGAGGAATTCACTGATGTTTTGACATTTGAGCCCCGATGCAACAGACTATAAGAGTGTAGTACAAAATAAAACAAAAATTCATCTTTTTCAAAAAAGATAAAAATAAACATTCTAATGTTATTCTTGCAAAATACTACTAAATGTATCTTTAGCCACACAAAAAGTAAACATTACTCCTGAGATTCACTATAACCCACTCATATCAGTCTTTGGAAGCTTCATACAAACATAGATACTATTAAAGATAAAAGAGTTTATCAAAATTTCATGCGAACCTCTGAAGTAAGCATGGCGATAATAATAATCTATGATTTATATAGAGCGTTTCTACTGACAACAATCAAATTGTTTTTAAAACATACTCGCTGATTGTGGCTGAAATGAAAGATGATTTATAGACATTGCTGTTACCTAAATCATGGGCACTCATTTTTTGATAACGAGTCAATGGATGGCAAGATTGAACCTTCAGGGAGCTAGATATGAATTCTAAGGTTTGAACAAGTTTTTCAGTGCTTCGAAAATGTTTTATTTTATAGTGTATTACCCTGTTTGGTTTTGCTGAAGTAATCATTTTATTTTCTTTATTCATTTTTTGTTAGTTCTTTTTCGATACTCAATGGTGTTTCTGATGTAAGGTTCTTAGATTAAAGATTAATATGTTAAATACATCAATACGACTCATTTGTTCATTGCCATCCTTGAAAGTCATTATTCAGTATATGGACAAGTCTTTATTTAAATGCCTTTTATTGTGTTTTCACTATTTTAAATACTGGCAAGATCTTTGTTCAGCTTATCCTTCCACTAACAGGATGTGGACAGACTGGTCCACACGTTCATGTTTGGTGTTGTTCAAAAATGAGAAACATAAGGAGAAATGTGTTTAACATTTTGAGTTGAGGTCAGACCTGTTTTGGGTTGTAGAACAGCAACCATGCTTCAATCAAACTGACTCTCGTTTACCTGAAATTAGCTCATTGGATATGATACAGTTACATCTTGGTAATGCTTAACTTCAGAAAGGACAGCCTCAAGCCTCGATCTTTGGATTGTCTTCTAAGTGAGATATAATCTATACATAACATGGAACTTCTCATGGCACATATACTTGATAAAGTTCTAAACTTAGGACTATTTATGTGTACTCTTGACAAAGGCTCATAGAGAGCTGAAACGTTGTCTGTTGCTGTCCGATAAACCAGACCTGGACCTTATGCCTGTGCCCAGTCCATTCTTTAAAGTATTAGTAAAATGAATCTGTGTGAAAATTAGGCTAAATACTGTTTTTCACTTTTCTAATTTAAGTGTTATAAAATGCATGTTCTGTACAACAAAGTAAATTACTTCAAGGGATACTCCAAGCAGCGGTATCCCAGTACAGTTTTTTGAAGTGGTCATGGTGCAATGGTTTGTTCCTTTACTGGCGAGCTGTGCAAGCTTACACCTTGCATTTTTACCATTACAGCAGGCCGTAGCGATAATGAATGCTGTCATCTTTACAGGCTCAATACCTTCATATTTCTATTTTGTAGTAAAAAAAAAAATAACAAAACTACATAAAGTGTGAGCATTGTCTTACTAAAACAAAAAGCACCAAAAGCGAAAAGCAGACACAGACATCCTCACAAGTTGTTTTTATTACAATGTTCACCACTAGAGGTCAGGCTTTCTATTTGCATATATGCATATTACTTAAAGAAATATGTTGTCCTATTAAACATAAAAAAAAAATTATATTTATACAGTACAGGATATTGCCGATTGTTATTGCAGTCAGCACCAAAGTCCTGTAGTGTACATTACTGTCACACATTAAAATCAGAGCCCTGGCAGAGAAATAATGAGGCTAAAATGCATTTTGGGTTTATTGAAATATAAGAGGATTTGTAATATTGCCACAAGATAGTAATTAGGCATCTCGGTTATGTTTGGCTGTAATTAGAATCATGTCAATAATATTAAGTCACAAGTCAAAGAGTAACAAGTTCTTTAAAGTGAAATTAT